ATAAAGTAATACGATTTGCCAAAGTAAGAGAATGATATGAAACATTAACACCAGACGATGAGGATGAACAGCCATTATTGATTATCTTTAATTTCTTAATGGAAGTTTAATGGAGATTGAACACAAATTTATAAAATCCCTGCTGTAAAACAATTGGCTAAGTGCGCTGCCCCCTGACTTAAGTTTCTTGTAAGACTTGTTTTTGTTTTTGAATTTGTTTTTATTAGCGGGCTCAAGCCAACTAGCTCACGTTCGTCGTGCACGGTCACGTCCAAACCCAAGATCCACCTCTTTCACACTCAACGTGTCACACCAAGTCCAAACCCATGACCCACCATCACCACCATCATCAATTTTTCATCCTTGTAAAAACGTACGAGAGGGCTCCTACAAACAACAACAACAACAAAACAGAAAAATAAATAAAATTTTGCATAATCTGGCTTCGCTACTAGTCGCTGCTTTAAATACAGAAAGAGTCTTCTTTAGTTTCTCATTTTCTTGAAATTTCTATCATTTTCTCTTATCGCCATGAAACCTTAACCTCTGTCTCTCTTCACAGGTACTCCCTCTCTCTCTTTCTCTATTTTTATTTTTATTTTGTGTTTATATATAGACATATATTTACATAAAAGTATAAACATATAAGTATTTATAAGTTTGTGTGAGTTTCTCTTTCTTTAACCGTGAACAAGTTCACGTTTTGTTTGTTTTTAATCTGTAAGTTGCTGTTAATCGGTGCGTAACAACGATTACCCATTTCCTCAGGTTGCTTCTTTAGCTTAGTTTTTGACGTGTTTGCTTTGTGTATATTAATATTAATATTATTTATTAATGTTATTAATATTTAATATTATTATTATTATTATTTTCTTCTACATGGGAGCTTAATACTTGTAGTAAAATTTTCTTTTCTTTTCTTTGTATTGTATTGTGCTTTGCTTCTTCTACGATTAAATGTTCTTGTTCTTATCTTCTATCTTTGTATGCTTCTTTTTATCATCTTGAAACCTTAAATTTCTGGGGATCATATTAGAATTCTCATTGTAAACTGCGTTTCTTGCTTTATGTTTATTATTTATTTGTTTGTTTGTTTGTTTGGGTGGAGTGTTCAGCTCTGAGAGTTCTTTGTTTGATATGGCCATAAATGTGCTTAGTGGGTACTTATATTTTTTTATCTAAATTTTAGTTTTTACAGTTACGCAATTGCTTTCGTGGATAAAGAATTAAAAATAAAAGAATAGGTATTACTTAACCAATATAACATGTATCAATATAACCTGACAAATTAAAAGAACAATAAAATTAACAGTAAAAATATAAAATATGTTAGTATTACCTGACAAATTGAAAAAAAAAAGGGCTTGTTGGCTTGATAGGTGGGAGAAACTCGTATTTGTGTGGATAAGAATAAGAAATTTAGGAAAAATTTTGAAACCCAAGTAGTTGAGTCACTTATGGGCAATAAAGAAAAACGGGCCTAGGAAGTAGAGGAAAACAGGTTTGGTTTTGACAGCCTAGGAAAAAAAAAAAAGACTTAACTTATTTGATGGATTTGAGTTTTTTTGTAAATTATTTTTCATTTAAGAGTAAATTTGTAAAACTAATAAAAATATTTCCAAACTTAAGGAGGGTCAACTGACCCTCCTTGACCACCCCTCCCTGGCCCCAAGACCCACCTCCCTCACTAGCTTAAAGGAGAAGAGGATTCACACACACACACACACACACACATATATATATATATAAAACAATCTATTAAATTAATAATATGGAACAAATTTAGCTTCTAACATTTTAAGATCAAATTCTGAATGGGAAATTAAAATTAATAGTAAAATGTGAACAGATAAAAGTTTTCTTTGGGAAAATAAATATTAAACTTGAAGAGATAAAATTCTCATTGGGAAAATTGTAAATTGTTTATTGGTCACAAGGGTTCAGCACTTGAGTGATTGTGAGCTCTCTAATTTCTCTATATATAAAAGAGATACTAATCAAGCAAAGAAATTTTTTTATAAATGACTTTGTGCTGTGAGAAATCACTTATTCATATATCAACTATCAACGGTTAATAAAATATAAAATATTTCATAAACTATACTAGGATACAATAATTTAACGTAAATCGTTGAGTTACAAAAGATATTAATAAAATATGATATAAGAAATCATGAAACACGTTTTGCTAACTTCGTTAATACATAAGATGTCGGTGCCCGCAATAGTAAAATATTATCATTTGCGTAACTTTCTTGAATAATATTTATGGGTCACAGCTCTTGAATTCTGTCATTGATTTCTTTCCCCCACCCTCAACTTTCTCATCCACAAAGCCATGTATTTGATCAGTGAGAAGAACTAATAGTTGCAGAAGTCTTTGGAGTCGGTGCAAATGCAGAAGAAATTGTTTTGAATTTGAATATATAGACTAGTAAAACGTGGGAGAGATATATAATATATTGATAACTGGTTTAAACTTTCCAATGTGCGAGTTGATAGTGTTAATGACTATTAGACTAAATATAATGTTGAGTTCAAACCCGTAAATTGATAACTGGTTTAAACTTTTCAATGTGCGAGTTGATCGTGTTAATGATTATTAGACTAAATATAATGTTGAGTTCAAACCCGTAAACCCGTAAAGGTTTTTGTAACTTTGCCATTCCAAGAAATTACAGGAGACTTATGTGTTGTTGACAAGGTTTTGGCAAAAAAAAGTTTCTTCATATTGTACATAAAATAATATTAAGAGGAAGGCTTTGATTGATTTCCAATGTGAAAGCTCCAGGTTTCATGAAAGAAATATTATTCCCCTAAACATTATGAGAGTGACACCTTAACAATGTTAATATTTATAAAACGTTAAATTTATGTTGAAAGACATGAATACAGTTCATAGCAACTACTGACATGAGGTTTAACCTACACATCTAGTCTGCTTATAAAGATGAAGTTTTCAAGGACTTGACAACAATTCAAGATGTTCAGAAAATAATAAGGGAGGGTGTTTGAAAGTATACATATAGTTTATAATTAGTTGATTGTATGTACATATGTTGTATGAATGACTCTCTTCAGATCATAAGTTTGACAATCAGAAATTTTAGATGAGAATAGTAAATTTAGATAAGCAAAAGCTGTTTGACAATCTCTTCAGGATACTATATATCAGAGGGAGATAATCCTTGCCTCCATGACAGTTTTCATTTCAATAGTTATTGTGTTGGTTCTTCTGAGGTTGCTTCTTATTTTCTTGCTATAGAATATAATTATCAGAACTCATTTTCTCACATTTCCAACATATTATAAGGATTGGTTATGGTCCAAAACTCGAGTCCAACAGCTACCATTCACTTTTAAGTCCTGCAATTATTTTTTCATTGCCAAAGCAGATAAATTGGGTTACCAGTTTTGTACTATCAGAAGAGTATTGATATTAAAGAGAAGTTACAAAAGATTCTGTGTAGTCATATCCCTGCTTCCTAAAGCTCTCTTCTTTGTGGATGAAGAACTTAGATGGATCTCCAAGTCCAGGTCATTAGCTTTCTCATTAGATTTGCTTGCAGTTGAGGGAGCAATCACTGAGTCACCATTTTGCATTCTCGCTTATTTTCAGAAGTGGGTGGAAATCAATGGCATGACGCTGTATTGGAGGACTCTTTGGTCTTCAAAGATTCATTAAAACAACCAACATGACTGACTTGGCGGGGATTGTGAAAAAGACTCAGATTAAGTTGAGGCTGATTTNTTTTGCCTTTACCTTTTGCTTTCATAGATGATCTTTAGTTTTTTCATTTTGACCCATACAACACAAAACAACAGAACTAAATGAAATATTATGTTAAAATAGATACCAAATATAACTCTCACAAGCATTTCATCAAACATATTTCAAACAAATCTATCAATCCACCAACATAACAAATCCATCAATCCACCAACCACTATTACTACTACTCACACACCAGCACAGATAGTAGGTACTGATGAAAATGTGGGGTGCATGCTTTCGTTTTTTATTATGAACACATGGTAGTGCATTTTGGATTTTTATTGCTCATCATGCACAAAAATTCATGTTTGAACTATTAATTTTATATGCAATGAAGATATTTGATGTTATTGATCCAGATTTTTATATTTTGTCACTCTTATTTTGTTGATGTTGAGTGTATAAACCAAGTCAATTACAAAGAGCAAAAATAATGCTCTTAAATGTTAACCAATTAGCGATTGAAGTATTAGTTGCAGAAATAATAGACCACTCAGGACTAATAAATAATAACTAACTAAAATAATTAGTTTCCAAAACTCATATACAATCGGTTACTATATTATTTAGATACAAAAAGATAATTTTAATAACTAAATCATTAGTTACTAAGAAACCAAATTGGGCATACACATTGACTAACTAAAAACAAAATGCTTTTACAACTAATTTTTTTCCTCATAAAAACACACATTTTACAACTAATTTCATAGTAGCGGAAAATAATTTACTAGATTTGAGTTCAACATTCAGTATCTAAAATTATTGGAATTTACCACTAATTTATTGCTCACTGAACTCAAAAGTAACATAATAAAGATATAAAGGAATATTGATGCCACCTTTTCTTGCATCTCAGGAATTTGTTCATAGCCTAAACCCTCCTCTCCTTCAGAATCAGTCATCTCCTCACACTCAAACTCAACATGTTCTTTGATTTCTTCATCATAGTCACTTAATTCTTCCTGTTCCATCACAATCCCAGATTGGAATGATCACCGATATCATCAATGTTTCTAGTACTTGGTAAATCTGACAAATGGCCACTTAAGACGGCCCTGCCATAATTTTCGCCATAACGATAATGTATACTGTTAGTATGTTGAGTTTCCGTTCTGTGTCCAGAGTTTATAGCATTATTTGCTAACCACATAAGATTCTGTGTAGTCATATCCCTGCTTCCTAAAGCTCTCTTCTTTGTGGATGAAGAACTTAGATGGATCTCCTAGTCCAGTTCATTAGCTTTCTCATTAGATTTGCTTGCAGTTGAGGGTGCAGTCACTGAGTCACCATTTGCATTCTCACTTCTTTTCAGAAGTAAGTGGAAATCAATGGCAGATGACGATGTATTGGAGGACTCTTTGGTATTCAAAGATTCATTAAAGCAACCAACACGACTGACTTGGCGGGGATTGTGGAAAAGACTCAGATTAAGTTGAGGCTGATTTGCTGAAAAGAAACTAAAAGAACTGGAAGTCCGAGTGCCAGTGTTCAGAGGATAATATGGCAGACGTCCATCTTCAGAGGCCTCGAAAAATAAAGGATGCATCTCAAGATCTGACTCAGCACCTCTTTCGTCCTCAACAACATGAGATTCTTCTAGGTGCAGATTTCTGACATTTTCTTTCACTGAATTTTTTTTATCTCTTCCAGTTTTTATTAAATGCAGAGTTCCCAACCTTACAAGATGAGATATTAGAGGAGCTGTACTTTTTTGTTCAGAACAGCCAACAGCACTGCCTAGGGCTGTAAAAAAAAAAAAAAAAAAAAAAAAACCGAAAACCGAACCAAACCGGAAAACCGGACCAAAACCAAATTGAAAAACTGATTTTTCAGATTAACCGGTTCAGTTTCGGTTTTCAAAAATGATTAAACCGAATTTTCAGTTCAGTTAACGGTTTAAGGGTGATATTAAACCGGTTTTGAAAAAAAAAATATATATCCTTCTTATTTTTTCCCTCAATTTTTCTTGGTATTGGGTATGCAGAACTGCAGACTGTAGTCTGCTTCTCTGCGCATTTTCTTGGGTTTGCTTCTCCACTCAAATATTTTTTTTTCGTCTTCTTCTCATTTCACTACTTTCTCTGTCTTCTTCTCCTTTCACTGCTTTCTCTTTCCTTTTTCCTTTTTTCTTCACATTTTCGTCTTCTTCTCTTCCTCTGCTTCACCAATTTCTCTTTCTTTTTTGTCTTGTTCTCTTCGTCTCCTTCTCCACTTTTCCTTTTCTTTTTCGTCTTCTTCTCCTTTCGCTTTTCCGTTTCTTTTTCTTTTTCGTCTTCTCCATTTCTTCTCTTTCATTGCTTTTCTGTTTGGATTTGGATAAGAGATGAGAAGAGAATGCCATGATTGGACTTCAGCCTTCTTCTTCTTCGATCGTTTGGTAGATTTTTAGCTTTAGGGTTTGTTTGGAAGTTCTGCGTCTGCGTTTTTGTTTATGAGATGTCTCAATGAGACTAAGTGAGACTGATTTTGTGCGTCTCTTCAGGTGTTGGTTTGTGTAAGCGCTGGATTTTGATTTGGGGTATTTGAAATCGACGGCTGTGAGGCACCCATTTGATGTCTTGCTATTCTAAAAAGGACAGTTTCAAATTTTATTAAAATCGGTTTATAAACTAGTTAACCGATAACCGAATCGAATTATCGGTTCGGTTAATAATCGATTCAAAGGATAATTAGGTTCGGTTTCGGTTCGAATTATCCTTTGAACCGAAAAACCAGTTCGGTTTGAAAAACGTGTAATCCGGTTCGGTTAACTAGATTTCCACACCCCTAGCATTGCCAGTGATAGAGACATTTGCAGATGATCCACATTGGACACTTTTGAAAGCTGACTGCGAGAATATACGAACAGATGGTGGGAGATTAATAGGAGGAAAGTCTGGTAAGTGTGCCTTGTTGAGTCTACGAGCCCTATATGGTGGTAAAGAGAGACCTGAGACTTAATCGTTCTGAATGGATGGTTTGGTTGCTGACTGGACCTGTCACGCCCCTTCTCGGGTAGACCTGGCAAAATGCGTGGGTGGGTCGAGTATGGTCTGGGCCCAGTGGCTACAGGCTAATGGGTGGCTATTGACTAGACCTGTCATGCCCCCTCCCGGGTATGGTCTAGGCCGAGATGGTTTATCTTCTTCTCTTTTGTCGTAACTTCTCTCTTCGTTTTTTCTCTCATTCGTTCTTCTCTCTTCTTCTTCTACTCTCATTCTCTTTCCATTTTCTTTATTATCTCATCACCCATGGCTACAAATGCTGCCATGAGAGCATCGATGTTGGCCAGATCTAGCTGGCACCTACCATTTTGTTTGGTTTGATTTGAATTTTTGCTAGCTATTTGAGTTTATGTGGGTGAACTAAGATGGGATTGGGACGGATGGTGACCATGGATCGGCTTTGAACAGCATTATATGATAGAATTTAAGGTGGGCCTGACTCCTCACCCAATAAGGTCTTTTTAAATGGGAGGATTACCCCCTTTTATAAACCAGTAGACTTGAGTGTGCGTAGTTAGTGTGAGACTCCAACACTCTCTCTCACGGTCAAGCCCATATGTTGGGTCATGCCTATTGATAGAGGTAGTTGTAGGCTTTAACTCCTCACCCGCTGGTCAAACACTCAGCTCAACTGAACCTGGGTTTTGATACCATGATAGAATTTAAGGTGTCCTGACTCCTCACCTAATAAGACTATGACCTTAATAGTTGACAGAATCTTGGCACTCATGGCCTAGTGGCTTGCCTCACCAGTCTTTGTGGTTGCTACGTGGAGGTGATGAGGAAGATAACAAAAATTTGGTGCTTAAGGAAAATTAAAAAAAATTAAAAAAAAATTTGTGTAGAGAATCGTGAAAGAAGTAATGGGGAGAAAATATGAATGGATGATGATAAGAAAGGTAGCAAAATTTTGGATGGGGCTGTGGAGGAAGTGCCGAGGAGGAAGATAAATCTAGGTGTATTTGGGTTTGACGAATCCACGCATATGAAGACTTTGAATGTCAATGAATTCTAAAGCACTATCAGTGACCCAATGAGCAATTGCTAAAGAATAAATTTAAACATTCCGAAGCATATAACCTTCAAATACCCACAATGCATGCCTATATTTCATTCCAAAACACACTTAATATCTTGATAACCCAGGAAACTATATACCCAACGAGCAGCCAACATAGACCACAAACTTAAATATATTAACAGATATAGCTTAGATCCACTCATATGAAAACTGGAGATGCATGGGTTGTGAATGGGTTTACTATTCCACTCATCTCTCAGCTCAGTCGAAGCTCCCTCCACTCTTCTCTTCTGATCCTAGCATCAAGAACAACAATGGTTAGTTTTTCTCTTGGATTGATTAAGAAATGATAGATCTACCTCCCAAGCTGCATGCATGAATTACCAGAACTTTGATTACAACCGGTCTGCTCTTCTTTTCTCCTCCCACTCTATTTCATTTCATCTCCTCCATTTCTCTCTCACTCTACCATTTTCGGCCAAACCCATTCTCCTCTTTCTTCTCTTCTTCTTCTTTCTTTCTATCCTCTCTTCTATCTTCCCTCTCTTTTCTTTCTTTCTTTCCCCTTTCCTTTCTTTCTTCTCTTCTTTATCTCCTTTCTTCTTCTTCTTCCTTTCTCTTCTTCCTCTCTTCTTCTCGACTTTTTATTCCTTCTTCATTTGGGTGACAGCCCCTGACAATCTCTTTTTCTTTTCATTTTTACCCCCAACAAAACTTTAAATTGAGTATCCGTTCCCCCCCCCCCCCTCGGCGGGGGGCCCGACCGCCGAAAACACCTATTTAATTAACAAAAATTCCAGAAAATAAATAAACAAAAAGGTGGTCATTACAAGACCCAATAGGAAGAAGTTTATAATCTCTAATTTGTAAACATGAACAACATATTTAATTATTATGTAAATAATAATAAATGCCCTCTCGCATTTGCCTTCAACCACAAATAGAACATAGGACATAAAGCTCTTGGAACCTTTGCGATAAGAGAAGTGGCTTTTTGTTGTAAAGATGGACTATCATATTATTGTTTCTAAACTCAATATGCTTTACATCGAAAGATAAATAAACTAGTATTCCAAAGATATATAAGTGTACAATAGCAAAATATAAAGAAAAGTCTCATAATTTTACAAGAATGAAAACTTTGTAAATCCTTTATTGTGTGAAATGAAATGGTACACGTCTATTGAGAAAGTGATAGCATCAATAAACTATCTAGTAAAGGATTAATTATTCACAAAGGAAGGAGTTAAATCACCGTGAACAAAATTAGTCTCTTCAATATTGATAGGGTGCATTCTTGAAGCGCATCTTGAAGCTCTGATCCCACCCAATTCGATTGCTACCTCTCGCATTGTAGGCCTATTTTTTCCATTTAAGTCCAGACATTTTCTTGTAAGATTGGCAATGGTTGCGATCTCTTCTTTTTTACCTTCTTTCATAACTCGAGCATCAAGAATTTCAAATAGACGATTCTCTTTCATGGCACGTAGAAAATATGCAGAAAGACTTCTATCTTCCTCAATATCAGTTGAACGAATTGGCTTTTGTCCAGTTAAAAGTTCGGCAAGAACTACTCCAAAACTATAAACATCACTTTTTTCAGTAAACTGACTTGACCAGAAATATTCTGGATCAAGATACCCAAAAGTCCCTTTTACTTGAGTGGTCAAATGAGTTTGATCAATTGCAATAGATCTTGAAGCTCCAAAATCCGACAATTTTACTTGAAATTTTTCATCCAGAAGTATGTTTGTGGACTTAATATCTCGATGATATATAGGTACAGAAGCAGTTGAATGCAAATAGGTTAATACACTTGAAACTTCAAAAGCAACCCGTAATCGTAGTTCCCATGTGAATGAAAACTCCTCATTTTGGTCATGTAAATGTTGAAATAGATTTCCATTAGAAACAAACTCATAGACTAAAAGAGGCACTTCTGTCTCCAAGCAACACCCTACTAGTTGAACTATATTTCTGTGACTAATCTGTGATAGTAATATAACCTCATTAATGAATTCTTCAATTTTACTTTCATCCACTCTCTTGGACTTCTTAATAGCTATAATTCTTCCTTCTGACATCCCTTTATACACAGTGCCTTGACCACCTTCACCAAGAATTCGATTGGCATGATAATTGTTAGTGGCTTTTTCCAATTCCTTCGAGGTAAACAATTTTGTTTTCTCAATGTTCCCACCATTTCTTATAAATAACTTTTGCTTCAGTTTGATTGCTTTCCGTTTTTGTACGAACTTGTACAACCACCATGTTACAATGATAAGTAACACCATTCCAAGCCCAGCACTGAGACCTGCACAACTCAAGGAAAGGAATACATCATAAATATTTGCGAGTTTTGCGTCAATGGTACTAAGGAAATGTAAAGTATGTTGAAACAGAAGGACAAGGATACCTATGCCAAATAAATATTTGACTGGAGTTTTTTTAATAAATATAGCATCAGAACTTCGTGAAGGAGAGCACCATGTTTTTCCATCTTCACTTTGATAAGGTTCATAATCATAAGGACATTCGGAGCGATAGCTATCGTTCTTCGAAACACAAAGCAAGCGGCCTACACAATGTTGAAAAAAAATAAGTTACAAGTAAATGACTATGACAATAAACATAATTAATAGAGAGTACCTGTACCTTTGCATCCTATATAGCTGTCAGATTTTTTATTGTCGCAAAGACAAGAACAGTCTGAGTTTAGTTTTATGACGCAGTAATCATCTTTGTTGCATTTTGTTGTGTGTGACTTATATAGGTCCACACAATAACCTCCATATTTTCCCCATTCCAGAATAGCTGGAACGACTTCTTTATCTTTCAAAACATAAGGATTTTTTAGGTAGTTTGACTCAAGCCAAGCTTTATGAACTACGAAGGCAGAACTGCATTCCCTGGGAAAACTTTCAGAATAAATTTCTGATATGTTTAAATTGTCAACCTTACGGTTTCGAGTAAGGTTGCATAGGAAATCACCGCAGCCATCATTTTGCGTAGGATCCCAAGTACAAAAAGAGTGGCAGCGACTCAGGATTGAATCTTTCCGACTGAGATTGAGGTAGTTTTCGCAACCAATGGCAGTGAATACATTGTCTGTATTCGAAAAGGAAAACGGGCTTGCAGACAGGTTGATGCTTGAATTGTGGGGGAAGTTGACGATAACAGAAGAATAAGGATGGCCAGTTTCGTTTAATTCTAGATGGACGCTGTTTAGGAAAGCTCTTGGAGTGCCAGAAGAGCTGTCGCAAGTTACTTCAAACCACTTGTCCAAGTAGCAGCCTTCACCGATTCCGAAAGGGTATGATAGTTTGACATTGCCACAGCTATTTGGACATAAATTTTGTGATGCTTTGATTTGCCAAAGTAAGAGATTGATGTGAAACATTAACACCAGACGATGAGGATGGACAGCCATTATTGATTCTCTTTAATTTCTTAATGGAAGATTAATGCAGATTGAACACATATTTATAAAGTCCCTGCTGCAAAACAATTGGCTATAAGTGCGCAGTGCGCTACCGCCAGACTTTTGAGTTTCTTGTAAGACTTTTGTTTTCTTTCTCTACGATCAATTTCTCTTTAGGAAAATTAATGGTAAAATGTTTACAGAAAAAATTTTCTTTGGGAAAATAAATAGTAAAATGTCAAGAGATAACATTCTCTTTGGGAACATTGTAAATTGTTCAACACTTGAGTGAATGTGAGCTCTCTAATTTCTATATGTAAAATCATGCACTAATCAAACAAATAAATTTTTTTAGAAATGATTTAATGCATATATCAAATATCTAGATTAATAATATGTAAAATAAATCATAAATTGTAAGAGAATACAATAATTTAACGTGAATCATTAAGTTACGAAAGATGATAATAAAATATGATAAGTATGAAACACGTTTTGCTAACTTGGTTAGTATATAAGAGATCGGTGCACACAATAGTCAACCAGAGATGCTCATCTCCCTTGTAAATAAAATATGGGTCAAAATGGACTCCCTGAGATATGATATAATAACCAATTACCCCTTAAAGTTTATGAAAAACAGAAAAAAGTCACCTACCATTAAATGAACTGTTAGTAAACTGAAGTTTATACGGTTCTAAATTAGTAAATACTATCAAATTAGCCTCTTATCATTTATTTTAATACCTAAAATTTAACAACAATGGAATTTTTGTTACTTCAAAAACCCTAAGGGGATTTTGTTAGTACATCATATCTTAGGGGGATTAAATTAACCCACATTAAGTGGCAGACCAAGATTACATTTAACGTGGATCATTAAGTTACTAAAGATGTTAATAAAATATGATAAGTATGAAAAACGTTTTGCTAACTTGGTTAGTATATAAGAGGTCGGTGCGCACAATAGTCAACCAGAGATGCTCATCTCTCTTGTAAATAAAATATGGGTCAAAATGGACTCCCTGAAATATGATATAATAACCAATCACCCCTTAAAGTTTATGAAAGAACAGAAAAACTCACCTACCATTAAATGAATTGTTAGTAAACTGAAATTTATACGGTTCTAAATTAGTAAATACTATCAAATTAATCTCTTATCGTTTATTTTAATACCTAAAATTTATCAACAATGAGATTTTTGTTACTTCAAAAACCCTAAGGGGATTTTGTTAGTACTTCATATTTTAGGGGGATTAAATTAACCCACATTAAGTGGCACTGTGGCAGACCAACATTAAATTTCTCTTATTTAATTCCTAGCTTGTGCTGTATTCGTTGCATGCAATAATAAAGTATTATCATTTGCCTAACTTTTAAATTCTGTCTAATTTCGTTCCCCCACCCTCAACTTTCTTTGGGAAAGTTAGCAAGACTCAATCCACAAAGCCATGTATTTGATCAGTAAGAAGAATTAATAGTTGCAAAAGTCTTTGGCGTGTGCAAACGCCAAAGAAATTGTTTTAAAGTTGATAATACAGTCTAGTAAAACCTGCGAGAGATGAATAATATATTGATAATTGGTTTAAACTTTCCAATTTGTGAATTGATCGTGTTAATAACTATTGGACTAAATATAATGTTGAGCTCGTACCCTTAAATTGGTTACATTTTTCTTAACCAGTTTACAGATGTGTGCTCTTGGGGTAGTTGGTTTGACTATGAGAGTACATGCTTATCACTGTATTTACTATGAAATTTGTGCAATGAAAACTCTTCAACTGAGACTTTTTACACCAAAAATATTCTTTGAAACAAGGGTATTTGTGTTTGGACAATCCGTGGCTCAAGATCTACCTCCATGAAAAAAATAAATACTAAAATACAAGAATAGAATACTAAAATAGTGTTAAAATAAATAAATAAAAATGTGCAATCACCCAAACCAATGTCTCACAAATAAATTCCAATCAATCAAATGGATAGGTAGGCCATCTGTAAGGATTGAACTAATTATCATTAGATGTTTGATATATTTTTCTCGTATTAATTATTTACCTCATCAAGTACGTCATATTCATCCATAGCTAAAAATCCACGACATTCTAATACATTATTTTATTTATAACCTATCAAAATCCAAATCAAACACGTCGTTCTAATCTCTCAAGTCTTTTCCTTTTTTTCTCCGGTCTCATTTATCTGCTTCCAGAGAAAGAATATGTTTTTATATTAGATATAAGCGACATGATTATTTTGTTTACACACTAGACTGATTAAGTGGTTTTGCCTTGAACACCCTGAGGTTTTTTTCAGAAAACAAAGGTTCCCTAAGATTTCAAAATAACAAAAATCCCCCTGTCATTAGTTAGCTGTTATTGAACCATTAGAATTTATAATATAATAGGTTAATGAATATTTACTTAATTGCTCCTCTGCCGTTTATTTTAACATCGAAAAATTAGAGGATTTATTTCATTTCTATAACTATAGGGGGACTTTGTAATTTGGTTATATTTAAGGGGAATTATTGTTATTAACCCACTGCTAATACTTTGAAGTCAACATATATATGTCTGTAAATTGTTCGAAATGCTTCCTAGAAAAAAGTTTTGAATGTTCAACTTGAAAGAAGTTTAATTAATTAATTTCTTATATAGTGGAGATAACAGATTATCAAGTTACCTAAAAGTGATCCAGCGAAAGATGAAACAATAGTTCCCTCATTGTCTAAGCTTACATTCAGTGGCAAACCCAGAATTTTTGCCCTGGGGACTTCTACGACTCCGCCATTGTTTATCAAACAACTAGTGAAAACTTTTAAAAAATCATCAAATCTTAAGCAATGAGAATAATACAATATCAAGAACCTGAAAGGAAATAATACAATAATACAATACTTTCTTAATATATTAAATAAATCTATGAGAGGTAAAACATAGATAACATAGATGTTAAAGTATGAAGCACAAAACGCTAACGTTTCAGCATTCTGAACTTATCAATGCGCTGCCATTTAATACACATGTAAGACAATCCAAGCTATTGAAGCAAACGACATCCAACGACCAGAATTCATCTAGCAAGTCAACCATATATAAGTAAGCATCTTCTATAGAATAACAACTCTCTCTTCTTCATGCGATTAAAAGGTTCTTTGTGCTTTGTAAGGTTTTCTTCAATCTTGTCTCAAATTTGTATAATCTGGGTTACAATCTGTGTAATTGCAAGGTGAGGGTAGTGTTTCCTTCAGGATTAGAGAGGCTGGTTCAGGTTTCTCTAGAGATTAAAGGTTTGAGTGATTGTTCAAGATTGAGAGTTGTGTGTGTCTTTAAGAATCGTTGTAATCTGTAAGCACTCTCTATTCCTAGTGTAGTGAGCCTCAAAAATTCTTGGAGCTCAACATGGATGTAGTCTTTCCAGTTTTTGGAGAGGCGAACCATGGTAAATCTGGTTGTTCTTGTGTTTCTTGATCTTGTGTGTGTGTTGATCTGTTAGTTTGTGTGTGATTAGGGGTTAATTGATCACGAATTGGTATAACAATAGATAATGACTCAAATTTCTTTAATAATTTTGAGTAACTAAATAGTTACGTTTGAAATGTAAAAAAGTTGTGGATGCAAGGTGAAGAATAACGTTCAGTAAAATATAATTAAAGTTTAATTTGGGAAAGTAGAAACATTCTTAGACACAAAACACAAAACAAACTCACAAGATCCATGTCTTTTTCCATCAAATTAGAATAAAAAAACCTCCAAAAAAAAAAGCATGATTCAACCCTAAAATAAACTAAATTAAAATGAGCAATACACATACCTAAAACTAATAAAACAAAAAGCGGAGCTAATTGTGGCACCTTGAGTAGTGAAAGCTTTAACAATATCAGTCTTCAAAAGTTTTTAAGAGTGAATAGCATGAGAAAGAGAAAGAGAGAATGAAAGAGTAAAGAATTGTGGGGATAAAATCATAAAAAATAGGTGGAGCCATGGAGAAGAGTGGAGAGAGTTTTAAACTTTTAATATGATGTGGGCTTGAAATATATATATTAATAACAAGTTTTTTGTGGGTATGGATATATGTATTGTGAGAGGTACGAAGAAAAACAGGGGAGAACAAAGAAAAAGAGATCTGAAATTCTTCTGTATATTCAACTTGATGATGAAATGTACAGTAGCGAAACATTTATAGTAAAACAGAGCAAAACAAAAAACTAACAGAATACAAACTGTTACAGCAATAAAACATAATTAACAACTTTAACAAACTAATTAAACTGAATTAACAACTTTAACAAACTCATTAAACAGGCCAATATTGGTTTAACACTTTACTAACATCCTCCCTTAAACTAAACCACCTTAACTACCACTAAGTACTTTACTGACATCCTTCCGTAAACTAAACCACCTTGATGTAACTCTTGCTTTCTGCATATTATTATTGAAATGCAGTATTTCTCATTATTATCACTTAAGCTGATTCATCAGCTGATCCATCACATAACAGCAATAGTTCTAATACTATCAAATCTGATGAACTGATTAGCATTATTCACATAAGACTAATTCTCCACACGACAGGAACCAAATTTACTAATCATCACAATCAGCAGCAAACACATTAACTTCTAATTCTCCACACTACAGGAACCAAATTTACTGATCACCACAATCAGCAGCAAACACATTAACTTTGATCATGCACATTAATCCAATTCTGAATAATGCTATCAGAAGCACTCTCATTAAACTAATCTGACACAACTGATCCAACAACACTCTTAGTAAATTGATCTGATGCATTACATCGGCTAATCAGTTCCTTTACATCTGCTAATCATAAGGAACTGATCCAAATTCCACTAATGAGCTTATCACCACTATCAGTAGTACTTATCATTCCCACTAGCATATAAAAATTCTCAGTAACAAGAACCTGATGAAACACCAGTATTATCTCACAGAGTTAATCTGAAACAGAGAGATTTAATCGAACTGTCAATGTTGTAC